AGGATTTAGTTCGCAGTAGATTAAAGAAAGAGGACAATGAGGATATTTGTCAGATGTCTGCTTCAGAATCCTCACATACAGGTTGCTGTAAGTACAATTCCAAATTTAATATTGTTTTAACAGGGTTATGTGCGGTCAAATTAAAAATGTTAGGTAATTAAGAAGATTATAAGGCTTTATAAGTATAAAACAGTAATCATATAATGACAAAGATCCAGTAATTAAAAAAAAACAAATTTAATTTTAAAATCCATAATATGAAAATAACAAAACTTATAAATCATACGTTTCGACTCCGATGTTGATAGCATCAATTAAATTATCATATTGGAACTTTCGATAACACAAACACAAAATCTTATCTACATTTTGTTTGACTTATTTAAAAATCTAGTTTATCTCTAACTAATAATAGAGAGAGACAAGTGTATACGAGCAAATATTTTCGTTAAAATATTTAATTTTATTCTAATATATTGCGAAGAATATCACGTAATTTTTAGCGTTTCATCCCGGTTTCCACTAATGGATTCATCAGTATCAGTAAGGCATTGTAGTGGAAGCCTACCTTAGACGGCTTGATAAGTTATTAAATCGAGATTTTATATAATGAGATATACGCGTGTCTCAGCACTTGTGAGAATTTGCAAATATCGATAGACCTAGTTTATCTTTCTTTGTTTACCAGATTTATATTTTAACTATATTGATACATTCGACGCGAATTACTTGCACAGAATGATGAATATCTCAACTTAATCAAGATTTATATCTATATTAGACTCAAATAATTTTTATATATTTTTTAACTTATTAAATATTAATTTAAAATTTAATATTTATGTAACATTGAAAATGATCCGATCGGAGTCGAAACGTATGCTTGTAATGTTTTGTAATTTTCATATTATGGATTTTGAAATTAAATTTGTTTTTTTTTTTAATTACTGGCTTTTTGCCCTTATTATATGTTTACTGTTTGGCAAAGTCTCATTTTTTAGGTGAGATATATGTATAATAAAATTATTTTAGTTGTATTTTTTTTGTTTATAACTTCATCAATTTAATAATATGATAACATAGTTATCTAGTGTTCGTGAAGTTATCACAACATTTTATTAAATTGTATTTTATATAATTGCAGTTATATCAATATTTTCTCTCTTAGAAAACAATTTATTATTTAAATTATTATGAATTCAGGTCATATGATAAACTACCAAATAAATACGTAGCCTAAACAAAACAAATTCTCTGCTTTAAAAACAAAATAATTATATAGAAAATCATATAAAAAATATATATATTCTATATATAAAAATCATAAATATCAAAAATCATAACTACCCAAATTTCTTCGTCGGTAAGGTAGATAAATACATACAGAAAAATAGTTCAGACAAAACTTGTACGACTTCGAATCAGCTATAAAATGCACGTAAAAATTTTTTTTATACTCGTGGCTTTTTCGAGTTATGTAGGTTGACATAATTTTTTTAAATGGAATTATAAGAATTTTTTTAAACAATATGATTCCTTTAAATATTCTCCATAAAAAAGTATTAAGATCATGGTATCGAAAAATCATTAGTTTACGAGATATTTTACACTTTATTTTGATACATATTAACATAAAATGTTAAATAACTCGTAAACTATTGACTTTTTGATTATCTTAATACTTTTGTGAACAGAATAATAAGATAAATTAAATGGTGTAAAAAAACACATAGTTGCGTGTATAGAAAATTATCCATTTTGCATACATATTTTTTTAAAGCTTCTGATACTTTAGAGAAAGTAATTATTTTGACCGTTTTTTGAAAATTAATAAAACGCCGTGCTAATTTTTTACAGACACTAATATATTTAAAAAATTTCTCAAGTTGTTCGTTTTTATATTTGAAGTATATTAATATGCATATAGTATTTATAGAGTACTATTCGTGTTATATTCGTATAGTATTCGTACTTATAGTATTCGTGTTTATATATATATACATATATGTATACATATGAGACATTCCATCCCAAGTGTGCTACTCGAAAATTTTTGAATTTTTTATTTGGCTAAAATTTTGATATATTACAATACCCATCGCAAGAAGCTACCATGATTTTTTTCGAATTTTTTTATCAACATAGTCAAGAGATATGAATTTTTTTCAAAATTTGCAATTTTCAAATGCCTATAACTTTGTGAAAAATAATCCAAATAAAACGTTTTTTTTTTTTAAATTGTGTGTTTGTTTCTTTAGTTTTCACAAAAAAATATCAAGAAATGTTTCAAAATTGTTTTCTAATTAAAAAAAAATTTTTTTGTAAAAGAATTCATAATAAGAAAACGATAATTTTAGTATTAAAGTAATATCAATCAAGGAAACACTTTTTTTTAAATAGGTAAATATAAAAAAATAAGTTATTAGATTACGTGTGTGTGTGTGTGTGAGAATAAACCGAAAATTTTAGGAAATGAAAAAGTCACGAGTTTATATCTATATATTATTTTATCGTATAAAAAAATGCAAAATTGAAAAAAAATTAATTCGAAAAAAAATAGAAGGAAAAATTTGCCCTCGATCAAATCAAGTGTTAAAAATCATCAAATAAATCTATAATAAGTTTTTATGAGAACTTTTTAAAAAAAATTAAACGTGTCGTACTTTAAAAAATTAATAATTTTTTACATTAAATATAAGTATTTCAAATACATGCTCTAGTTGTCACTAGGAATGTCAAATATACTTTCAACTGTTACAATAGTTTGATACGTCTTGTTCCACAGACACTGATAATAGCAGCTGTTCTACTTCATTGTCAGTGGCCATAACACCTCCATTACCTTCATCACTGAATGAAAGTTTATCGCCAACTTCTCCAACACTTAGCAATGAAAGTGTTCTAATAAACCCAGTACAATTCATACCATTCTCTCCATCTGCTACCAAAGCAAAAAATGCATTAGAATCAAACTCTTTCAGCGAAGACAGTACAACCAATAAGTTCAAATCTAATGAAAGACATATGGAAGTTGTACCTACAAGTGACAATTTTGCAAAACGAAAGAAAGATACCATGGATACTTTCCTTGAAGAGACTTCAAAGATGATGAATAAGATGGCTGGTACCATTCAGACTGTTTTGTTAAACCGACAAACCCAAGCACTTCCCAATGATGAGATTGCATTACTATCTGCCACAATTGCTAACAGTATACGATATGTTCCAAAAGAGAACAGAACAAAGTGTTTGATTAAACTTCTCCAAGTTACCGAAGAATTTATTAAGAATTAATTAGCGTGCATTATTTTTATACATGCAATACTTATATATGTATGACAAATGTGTAAAGTTTGAATGTTTATTTTATTGCATAAGATGATAATGTACAATCTCTCTCATACATTAGATATATTCAGTTAGTCATATACATTTTTATATGTCCAATACTTTTATATGTATGACAACTGTACAAAGTTTGAATATTTTATTTTTTTGCATAAGGTGATTATGTGCAATTACATTAATTATGTTCAGTTAGTCATGTACATACAAATTATCTTAACGTTACATGATAATCTATTTGAAAATGATGCATTATTCCAAAAAGTCTGATTAATGTAACTTATATATTTATGTTATATATTAATATTAAATTAATTTTTCTTCGTTTACCGATGATGGTCATATTAAAGGCCGAATCGTTTACTAATAATAATAAAAATTTCGTTTTAATATTCTACGAAATACAATATAATTTCGCTAAATCTATCCAGCGTCGTGGTATGTGCTCATTTTTAATTCCTTTATCGTATATTTATGTTGTTCAATCATTTGCACGTTTCTTTCATATTCAATAATAAAATATTTAATATGTCATTTTACAAATTGAAAGTTAGAATATCATTATATAATGCAAATTATACAATTGTGCAATTCTTTTGCAATATGTGAAATGTGATGTAAAAATGTTGTAAACTCAATCATTAAATTTTGCTATAGTATGATATATTTTGAGTAATACATTTTTCATATCATTGAGATTACCATATTTCAAGTCAAATGTATAAAAAAAAAATGAAGAATAATTGCAAGTCTTAGCGCAGTTAAAGATCAAATGCTTCAAATAATTAGTTCAATCGATTAATTTTATACTAAAGCTATGTACGTTATTTCTTAAACGTAATTTTTCACATTTGTTAAAAATTAAAATTTTTTTAATTGAAGACTTACAAATAAATTCACATTTGAAGATATTCGAGTATTATTTCAATGCATATATGTATTACGCATGGGTCTTTCTCCCTTCTCCTCTTTTTTTCCGCAATGTACTTATTTTATATAATAATAAAAAGTAGAATTTATATTCCTATTTTTTCCTTTATATATTGGTACATATTTGTTTGTCACTTAACGAGAGATGCAAGTTTAATTGTAAATTAAACTTGCTGAATTTATTTATCAAGTTCTTAAATTTTATAATTACCTCAATGTTATACTGATAATAATCATTAATCGTGAGTTATTTAGCTTGAATACGTGCCGCATTAATCACAGAAACAAAACGTGATTTTACTGTTAACACATACATTATTTAAAGGTAATACATTTTAATCTTTGATATTTTAGATGTAATTTTGTAAAATAAAAATATGTAAAAGTACTTTTTACATTATTTACACTTATGTTATTCTATTTTACATTATTTACACTTATATTATCCTATTTAATAAATATCTTAAATAAATGGTGGTCATCAATTTACAACCATGTAATTTACAACATGCAGTTAATTGAAAAAAAGGAGCATAATAAATGTACATACATACATTTAAATTTAAAAAGAAAAATTGCAAAATAATGTAAGAGTAAATGTAAAGTAAATATGAAATAGAAGATAAACATGTCTAAAAGAACTGGATACATTAACTATGTAGATCATATTATAAAAAGAAATCGATAGTAATTGATGAAAACTTAGTTGTAATTTGTTCCTCTCATAATAGGATTGTTTAGATTAGAGTAGCAACACTTTGTATTGCCATTCAATTTCTTCGGCCTCACTGATGAAGTAAACTCTTAAATTATTTCGAAGTTTGATGGCATCGGCAAGAGCATTGTTACTACCCATTCTACCAACACAGTGGAACATATTTATAACAGGTACTTCTCCACGCCATATACCGTTCTGAAGTAGCATGCCATGTGGTCCTTTCTGATCCATCAATAACGTTATATTGGTGCTGGTGCATTGACAACTCTTCCTCAGAGGACAGGAGGAAGTTATAAAGCATCACCAACGCTAATACAATCATCTCATGGGTCTCCAAATTACAGGCGATGCTGCCCTTAATAAACAATAATATTATCTTAGAACACCGAAGAAAAATAACACTATTTTTCACTCTCATCGCATTGTCTCATCGCATCGAATAGACTTCCTACGCTTAAAATATAATTTATATTGAAATTCACATTTTATTGACATCTTATTAAGAAACAATAATTATGCGTCTATAATCTCTGTACCTAACCAGAAGAACACAATGTTATCGATACTAACATTCTAATTATAATATTTACTGCAAATTGAGTTGAAATTATTGACAGCGTTAACACTACGAGAGAGAGCGAAGTGTATACTTTTTTATATTTTTATATATTATCCTTCATTTTATATATATCCATTGTAATAGTTTCATCATTACTTTTTTATCAACATTGATGATCCAACAGGGATCAAAACGTTTGTTTTGTCTTATAGCCGGCACATTAAAATTTTATAATTTAACTAAACAATATGTTCATTTCCTAACGTTTCAATTTTCAAATTATAACAATAAACCTTTGGCTCGTAGCCCTTTTTTTCTTTTCGTTGTTTTTTAATTTTATTGAGCTTTAATTACTATTATATTTTTATATAATTTTGAATTATAATTTTCGATTATTATACTACAGTTTAAACAGATATAAATAATACTGTTATGCCCGATACCTTTGCCGTTCTATCTCCGAGCGAGCTGAGTAAAGCTAAGCGAGAAACGCGTTATCAAAACGACGAAGTTTGTTTGGTAGTTTTGTTTTAACAACTTGACTATTCGGTCTGCGTGATTCTGTATTCTCTTTGCAATAAATCGTTGTGTTGTGTTCTCAATACGAATAATACATGATTCTAAAGAAATCAGAAACAAAAATACAAAATCAATGAGAACCAACTAGATGTTCATGTGTAAATTTAATTCTTTTTTGAATATCAAATTTAAAACGTTTCAATCTGTTGCTTTGTATTATCTTTAATTAATATAAAAAATAAACTATAATGAAGATAAAAATCGCAGACAAATAAATTAAAATCAAGCAAGTCACGAAGATGATCCAGAGCGATGGATCAAAACATCTTTTAAATTTGTTATTCAACAAAGAATTTAATTTATACACGAAAATCTAGGGTTGGCTCTGATTGATATTTGTATTTTTGTCAGATAAAAATAATGATCAAAAACAACTTACTCCAAAGTGATGGCAAGGCGAAGTTCAATTGGAAAAGGTTGTTGCATGCTCTTCTTCTCTAGAAGAGGGTAAACTTTTTCTAGCAACTATGCAGGAGTCATTCTGGTGTAATTGTAAAACTCCTTGTGATCCATTTCTTTTAATTCATGAAACAAGTTTATAAATTCTCCTTGTTTAGTGAACAGCCTATTAACAGGCCTATGCCACCATCTAGTTATGTAAAAACAAAAATATTAATCATGATGCCAGAGGATCGATCATGAAACTTTCCATACAACAGAAATGTGAAAAATGAAATTTTTTTATGAATGTGTGCGTGTATATACATATATACATAAAAATGTTCACGTTTTCTCTCAGAAAGAAGTTTCATGATCGACTCCAAGAATTATTAAAATCCAAGCATAATAAATGTTCCAATTCTAGACAAATCAACGTTTTTATTTTCAGTAAATAAAAAGCGACCAACCTGCAACCATTGTATTTATTCAAGATGTGACATACAGGGAACAATAATGTCATCATTTGCATCAAAATGATAGTTACAATCACGTCGTCATCTTGATCAATATTTATTTTCTCCTGTTCACATTAATGTGTGAACAATAACTGTACGAATATAATATTTCACGTTCTTTCCACGATTTTTCGCTGTTCTAATTACTTACGATTACACAGGTTTAAAACAGTTTAACAGTCTAAACATTCAACTTTCTTCTATCGGCTTTCCTATTGGTCGAGTTAAACGACTTGCTATACAAAACTGCTTCCGATTACCGACTACAGACTAGAGACTCAATGTAGAATCGGCTTTACAGTATGTACCTTCTACTCTTTATTTACACAACTGTTCATCTCCACCAATAATAGTATCACTGAACATCAACGTAAAGATCAACTCCGACAGTTTAACAACAGGCAAAAGGCGATCGACGTGATAGCACCAGCGACCATTTATTCTCACCAAACGTACTCCGGGTACATATAAATCTGAACAAACGTTCATCATCATATATCCCAAAACTGCTCTAACTTTCGGATAATTCCCCAAAGTCTCGGCAACCAGTAATAAATCAAAACTTGGCGTACCAAACGCAGAATTAATTGCATCAAACCAAGCAAGATAACAGAATCCCACAGGAAACTCCATGGCAACCTTCCGCTAACTACTAGTCTCCCACTGAACCACAGAAAACAGACCTGATGATTCTGAACGCGACCCTGCCACAACGCAACCAACTAATTTTACAGGGAGATCCTCGCTGTAGATAAAGAAACTTTTACGTTAGTGCCATCTTGTCCAATAAAAGTAGTATTGATTACAGACCTCATAATATAGATATATGTAATAAATTTGGAGAGATTAAAGAATTAAACAAAATAAAGTAAAAATTGCTCCCTCTCTCTCTCTTTCAACAGTTGATCGCAACAGCATTCCTCTCGTGGTAAGTCAAGACGACGCGGCTGTCGGTAAAACAATTCCGCGTTGGAGCCACATGATTAGAACACATTGCTGCGCGCTGGTTTTCGTGATTTTCCTTCTTTTCTTTTTCGGCGAATCTCGACGCTTCAGAAAAAAAAAAAAAAAAAAAAAAATT